CACGGCCCTGGAGGGGCACCCCCAGCCTGCCCCCGGGGATGAGGGAGCAGGCGTACATGAGGGTGGCAGATGGACAGCTTAAACACAGAAGCTGCTTTACCTAATGGCTTTCAGGGGGGAAGCACAAAAAATTCTAAGTGGATCTTAACAAAACCGTTGAATTTTGGCTCCTCGCTACAAGGCAGGCAAAATCCACAGCTCAGCTGGCAATGATTTCCATGCTGTGGTGGCCTTCCATCATCTTGACTAGCTAAATGCGAAAGAACCTAAATGGTGGAGGAATAGCAGGAATAGAAATTGGTTTTAACAAATTTGGACTCACCAATGTGAGGGAAATAACCCGACAGCCACTGAAGGTATGGATTCATTTTCCATAGCTCCCAGCTGAACACCCTCCACCTGAATTGTCTTGATTTATTTAACTCACTGAACAGGAAAGGAAGGGTATCTGTACTTGGGTAAGAGTTCACATAACAAATTACTCTGGTTTCAGTTGACAGCAACTGCCTCTGACAATTTCCATATTGTGCACCAGACCATAGGCCTCCCTCTTTGTGTACTTCATGGCACACCAACACTAGCAATCAAGTCACTGGACCATAATGAGCTACCACTCATTAGGCAGGTAGCTGTATGCAGACTCCTAGGCTCTCCCATTTCTTAAGTAAAGAGCTGAGATCACCAGCATTTCACCCATGCGTGCAGGTTCTTCTGTTGGAACTGTTGACACTAAAGGAGATGTTTTGAAGAACTCTCATGGATATTTTGGTGAGCAAGTGGCAATAAATTCCTTGACTTATTTTAAACCTACATATATCATTTATACTGGGGCTTTATGCTAATATAGCAATATATAACAAATGGTCAGAGTAAATTATGTGTTATGGTCTATCAAGTCTTTATTTTACTTCTAAATTTGTCACAGTGACAGTATCCCCACAGTGCTGTGTCAGAACTCATGACATCATATAAAAAGATCAATTGACACAGCTTCAAGATTAATTTTATTTGTGCTCACAACCCTATTTAAAAAAATAAAGGTTCGCAGTATTTGTTTTAATTGCACAGTGTTCTAAAAAAAAATAAAAATAAAGGATCTACCAAGAAAATATTAATGAAGTAGTAAAGACTCTGTTTTCCATTTAAATTTTCTAATGTAATGGAAAATGCAGCCTAGTCTTTGAATAACTTCTCTGTCCCTTTTAAATAATTATTGTGATTAAGCTTGGAGAGGGGAAGCAGTAGAATCTTAGTATTATTTGAAATATTTTCCACAGCTTTTTCTAAAGTTATTATTCCTGGTTTCTATGGGGAAAACTGTTGTGGAAAACATATACAGCAAAAGTTCAACAGAGCAACATAAGTAGAGAAGAGCTCTACATGGAGAACTACAAGAAAACCCCAGACCTCAAAGTTCATCACTATAAAAGGTGTATAAAGCCACAGGACTTGAATGGGGATTTACAAACCTTCTGATCTTTGATGGACAACTGTGCATAAGGGGCTCAATGGTGCGGTCAGAGGCACCAAAAGCAATGCTATGATTTGTCTTGGTAGCTCTTAATCTTGGCTGAATCTGTGTGCAAAGTTGCAGGTTAGATGCTACACACAACATAACTTTTCAGATATCCACTTTTATTTTCTGTTTGATAAAGGTGTTTTTTTCTAATCTGTCACATTGGCAACAAAATACATATGATTGTATTACACTCTTTTTGCTTCAAAAACCCCACAAAACTTAAGAGCTGTTCTTTTAATATTACAGGGCTTTTTGAGGCTGTCAAGAACAATTTCGACATCCCCTAAGCATAGAGGAATTTCATCCTAAATATCATAAAATAGACTTTTTTGTACTATAACATAAATTCCACCAAATGGTTAGACCCACTTGTATAATGACATTGTGGAGTCTGTGTGTGTGGAGCTGGAAGAAAGGGTTGAATTTTTGTTTTTATCTGTGCTGTATTTAACTTGTGTCCTCTAGCCTGACAATGGACAATTCAGACTATTCTTGTGTGTTGCCCAGAAAATCTTCACTTATTTGTAAACCAGCAAACTTACCACTTAGACTTACCCTCTCTGCAAACAAGACAGGACTAAAATATGAACGGATTCATTTTCTCCCATTTAACAAGACACCTACATTGTTTAGTTCCGTTTACAAATTTTGGCTTTTAGATACATAGTAGTCAGAAATAAAAAGAGGTTTAGGTGTCTAATTTCACTGTGAATGCCTGAAAAGGGGGTTAAATACTAAACACAGAACTCACCTCACCCAGGATGGTAGATACTTGATTCCTTATGTCTCTGTCCATTGCCCAGGCTCCCTATACAGCATTTGGAGAGAATAAAACATTTTCAGATTATAATTCTTTTCATCCTAGAACAGGTTTTTAAGATAGTGGGAACTCATTCCCCTCTGGATATGATGGTCTCACCCCATGGAGAAAGAGAGAGTCTATATGATTGTTACAGGCTTAAGCAATTCTCACACATAGATTTAGGAAATTGGATTCCTGCTGTTATGCATCCTATGCTACACTTGGCAATGAACCTAAATCACTTGAGAATTTCTAAAAATTTTAGCCTATTATCTCTTTCTTTTCTTCTTCTTTGAGGTACAGAAATAAATTTTCAGTCTGAGATATTTTTCCATGTATCTACTTTACATTATTGTGTAAAGCAAGAGAATATAATAAAATATAAAAATATGACAAGTATCTTGTTGAAGTTATCCCCACCCTTTTTACTAGGCCTGGTAGAACCCACACAGTCCTTCTCCCACAGCCCTTACCATCTCCGATTCTAATTCCAGTTGTCATACTTGAGGATTGCTATGTTCTATGATGGAATAAATGTATAGCATAAGGAAATATGAGTCATCAAAACTATAAGAAATCTCTTTTATAGGAAAAGATGAAATTAATTGCCTATACTAACCCTGAAATCTCCCATCTGCTGTATACAAAATACTGCGCTTTTCTTTCTTGTTATTTGCACCATATAGAATATATTCCTCAGAAAGCCACTACCATAAGAGGATGCATTCAGTCCTTAAGAAGATCCATACCTTACATATCTCCTTTTTCAGGCAAGATATGTAGTGCAGTTGCCTTACTTTTCAAAAAAGCATTCAACTGTAACGGGTCCCACATTTGCCTTTTATCTAAATCCTCATAGTCCAGTCTCTGAAGTTGCATATCTCAAAGCTGGAAGCTTATTAACAAAGTCTGTTCAGGTTTTCGGGAACAAAAAAGAACTACTAAAAATCACTTTCATAAAAAAGGCAAATCCCAAATATACTTAAAATCATTGTGGCCATGCTTTATGTTGTATTTCAGTTGTATTCATGTATGTCATCTGGGTAAATGAACCGCTGCAGTGTAAGTGTAGTAATGGAGGCACTGCCCTGTTCTTTGTGTTATAAACTGCCCCTGTATTTATTGGGTACTAAACACTGATGTGCTGGATCTCCGATCTTTCCTTATTTTATTCTTGCTGATGTCATCTGCGACCCTCGTTGGAAAACAGGAGATGGCAAGGTAAGTCCATTTCACAGCACACAGAACTTTGTTAAATCCCATGCTCACATGGAAAATCTGGAATAAAAAAATGTCAAAAGGATTAAGATTAATTTAAAATAACTCTACTCCTTTACAGTAGGACATGTCAATGACAAGGCAGTGAAAGGCAATGTCTTAGCAGAAGACACAAAATCCCATTAATGAAAACAAATAAAAATTTCCTAAATTATCCAGCAATCAGCAGACTGCAAAAACATTATGTCACAAGGAATGGTACTCCCACAGAATCTACCAAAACACTTTCTGAAGCTCCTCAGTAGAGTATATCTAAGGTACTTCTGTAATACTTCATAAGCCTGTGACAGCAGTCTGATAGCATGGTCAAAGGGTTCATACAAGTAAAGGAAAAGTGGGATAAATTGTTAGCACACATCTTGGTCCACTTCCAAGACAGCAACAAGATTATACCATATGGTACAAAATTATTTAAAAAACCCAACAGTCTTTGGGGTGAAAATAGCAGCTCCTCTAGAACAGTAGTAGTAAAACACCACCCTGAAGTGTATAATGCTTCAAGGCAGACTCTTGGCAGACAATGTAAGATTTATTAACAAGACTTCAGGGAGATTTATATCATATTTGCTGTAATAAAGCAAATGGTCTGAGAAATGTAGAAGTGAATTAGACAGACATTCATCCATATTAGTTCTCTGTTTTATGTCTTGTCCCTGTAGCAGTCATGGGCTTGATAGGGAGCACTATCTCACTTCAAGTGGACCAATGGATTCTTTTATAACTTTGCACAGGAAATGCTGACATGCTGAGGCAATCTGGAGATCATCAAACAAATATGATCAGAATCACTCTAGCCAAATTTTCAGTTTGTGAATTGGTGTGTAAATTGACTGCACACATGATCCTGTATTCAGCTATTCTGATGAACCGATTTATTCCTCCTCTCTGTTATCTCAGGGAGAGGAAGAACAAGCTAGTATATGTACATGCATGTGTGTTATGTGTTAAGTAATGTACTGCTTATCACTCCAGGAGTTAAACATTAACCCCATCTGTACAACTCAGATCCAAATCTGGTCCGTAGATGTGTCATTATGCAGCAGACGTTTCAAACTAAAGTGTGTTTATTTATTTACAGTGAGACAGATTCTGTGGGCCAATTTGCAGCAACTAACTGCTAGATGTGGCTGAGGGATGCCTGAGAGCAGTTGAATATAATTGGTTTTAGATTTGAAACATAAGGCAACAGCCACTAGTGATAAGAACCATATATATATATGACATGTTATGTCTGAAAAGGTGAAATAGTATCTTCAGGAAGTCAAACTCCCACTTCTCACTTCAGAAAATCCTGAATGGAAAAATGAGTTCACGAAACTGGAATGCAATGTGCCCAATACACATTTCATACATTGTATTGTGTCCTGAGCAGATGATGTGTATGTGAAGTCTTATTTAGAGTAAAAAACTTCCAAACTCACTTTATCTGTTGCTATGGCAATATTATGTTGTTGGAAAAAGTAGCTAATATTCTGAATGATGTTATTCCACAGAACAGAGAAAGAACTGTGAGAAAAAGAGAGGGGAAGAGAAAGGAGAGATACTTTAGAGGATGTCTCCAGGATCATTTGTGTCTTTGAAGAAAAATACAGCTGCACACCCTTCTTACTTTCATTGAGCAGACTCTATTGTAAGACAAGGTGGCTTCATTTGAACTGGATATTTGGCTAAAGTAACTCACAAGGTGAGATCCAAGGAAGAAAGAGAGAGGAATATGGTCATGTTCAGGAACAAAGAAGACAAGCAGGTCTACTGTG